GGAAGGGGAAAATAAAAAGAACCAAGAGACTCATGTAATGGTACAAGATCCCAATGATGAATGTAACTGTATTTTATACCTAAAATGTACCAATAAAGTTAATGGGGGGGGGAAGAGTACTAATATGTTTTCTGGATCATACCTCAAGAAAATTAAAGATTACATTCTTCAGAATTTAAAAATGAAATATGACAGAACCATTCACAAATAGTTATAATATCTTATAAATAAGACAATAGGAATAATTAATTATAAGTAAACAAGTAATAATAGTTTATTTTAGTCAAAATTATACACAATGAAGCATAACTGAGCTGCCTCTATATAAACAAGCATCTGTCCTGTATAAGGCAATTTCACTATGTTTCATACATGAATGTTGCTTATGAGACTTTGTATATGTGCTGCCCAAGCGAGCACACTTGTGTGACTGGTTATTGACAAATAACTTGGGACATTTTCAGCCTTAATTATAATTTAGTTTAATACTACCACACATGTCTCATCAAGTTCTAGAAGTAATGGATAATCTTTCTATTTAAGATAATTTCAAACCTTAAAAGTTTCTTTTAAGACATAGACCATTTGAGGCCTTTTAAAATTACTGATTATGAAAGATTAGTAAAATTATGCCCATACTAAGAATCAGATACATGCACCAACTTTTTCCTGTAAAATAAGTAACAAAAAGTAAAATATAAGCAGAAGTAAAATTTCTAGTATAAATACAAATGTGACTTCAAGCTAGTTGTCACAATGGACATGAACTGTATGTATCTCAGTAGCCATTGTAATAAGTGTAAGAATTTAAGAATATAATAATGTTAGCATTAATTCTTCCCTAGTTTCAAATTACTGAACAAAATACACATATTTTTGAAAACACAAAGATTTATTTATCTGATATATACATATATATAATATATATATATATATCTGTATTTGTCCATCTCATTCAGATCAACTTTAAAATGTATACATATTAATAACACAATTCCTGGCTGAGTTGAAAAGAATCTAATAGACAAAGCTAATTGCAACAGATTTAAAAAGAAAACTTAAAAACTAATATGCAACCAACAAAAAAGTACAATTAATAGAAATTAGTCACTTGGAAAATGGTTACTTCCCCCATATATTTACATTAATTAAAGGAAGCATTAAGAAAAAAGCATTTGGGGTTAAAGTTGCTTGTTAGTTTTTATAAATCAAACAATACTTTAATGCTTATTCCTATATCCAGTTAAAGTTTTCAATCAATAGTTTAAGTGTAATAAGAATGTACTACAAAGTATGCAAGACAGGTGATCAGGAAAAAGGAATACATTATTTTAGAATATTAAAAGATGAAAAGTAGCAATAACATTTACCATTTGCTTCCTCTTGATGATTTATTTGCATTTCTGCAAAAATAAAAGTGAAGTGCAGTTAATAATAGATCTGTCTGATGACATTGTAAGCGGGGAAAGAGAAGTGTGAGTTTAACTCTTTAACAGTGACAAATCCTTAGGCTGATTTTTAACAGAGTAGAGCACAAAACATTGCTAAGACAACTTTTGATACATATTCATATTTTCACTGTGAGGAATAACTATAAATCTGATACAAAAGGTAAACTAGCAAAAGTGTTGGTTTGAGGGCAACTGGGGAACCATTTTCCATGATGTCCAGATGTAACAAAATCATCTTGTACTTTCTTCTACTGATGGTTTCATTAATCCTCACCTTGAAGATAAAGTTCAATTTCTGAATAAATTATTCCTTGTGACATAAAGGGAATCCACCTGAAGAAAAGGAAAAAATGTTAAAAAAATAAATTTTTTATTTTCTCAATTTTTCCAATAAGATTGATTTCTGCATTAATTTTGCATACGGCAATGTAACTATAAAAACAGCTTTTGTGTAGCCAAACACAATCTAAATTATTGTATACGCAACATTATGCTAAAAATAATATGAAAACTATGGCCAGAATAATAAAATATGATCTGTACAAGGTTTATGTCTTCAATCACTAGCACTTGTAAATGCCACTGGGGTTGCAGCAGAGCACGCAAAGAACCTAGTTTGAACAAAGGCAAGGACATGTTTAAGATTTTGAGCCAGCCTAGAGAGTATAGCCTGCCCATGGGCTTGTTTCAGAAAAATAATTCCACCATTTAATCTTTCCTCTCTGAAAGTCTCTGTGCTGCATTTACATGGCTTTCTCTAAAATCTTCCTCAGTGCCTGCAAAAAGAATTGTATTACCTTAAAGTATGGTGAAAATACTACCACTTTGTCAACTGTGCTTCGGGTAATAGCTCACACTGATACCTTCCCCTAAATCAGACAAATCTCTGTATTAGAAGATCCCTGTTGCAAGAAAAGTCAAGACTGGATTCAGTAAACCAGCCTTCCCACTTACTGATTCTGTGATCTTACCTGCTTCATAGAATTGTTAAGAAGCTGAAATCAAAAGTCATGCAAAAGTATTATAACATTTATTAGGTAAATGTTACTATTTTACCACAAAACCCATAATTATTGCTATCATATATTGAAACATTTATTCCTTCCATTTACCCATCCTTCTGTCTATTCAGTAAGTATGGGGAAAGTGCCTTCTGTGTGCCAGGCTCTTTTCTAAGTGCTGGGGCTGTAGAAGAACAACAGAGAGAGGAAATCTTACTGAAGGTGCTTCCAGAGTAAAGGATAAGAACTGATGAGTAAAGATATAAATGCACCGAAATATTGTGAGTGATGAAGAAATACAGACAGAATAGGAGCAGAAGAGGAGATACCAATTCTAAATGGCATAATGGGAAGTACAAAGAGATGAAGCACAAAAAGTTTCATCTATGAGGTGATATTTGAGATGAAGATTGGAGAATAAGTAGATACCTTACAGGCAAACAAGAGTTCAGAAAAGATGCCAAAAGATGAGAGAGAGAGTAGCCCTGGAAAAGGTATAGGGAGCTATGATGAGATTCCATGTGGCTAAGCACAGAAAGCTGCTGGACAAGACAGGGTTGGGAACCAAGTGGGCAGGAGGATGTTGAAGCTGTGTGGGACCTACCTATGGGGACGAGGAGTCATAGAATCTGAAAATGTCAAGGGATTTAGAGGCAGAACTCTAGGGCTAAATCCACTATACTGGACTTGAAACCACAAGATGATGATCAGTTGTGAGCTGTAAAGGTGAATTGAGGGCTCTCATAGTCTTACCCAGCTGTCAGGACCATGCACCTGTCAACTTTTCAAAAGCTGTAAGAGATCCCATTTCCTTCTGACCATTGCAGCTCACAGTATGCTTTCTCTTCCTCTTCTGGAATCTAGTATCATATACTACAATTGATTTTACACACTTAGTCAACCTATAATTATGTGTTATTGCTTTATTTATTGGGTTTTGCTTAAGGTAGTCATCTTTCCAGCTATATTACCTCCATAATGAGTTTATCAACCAAAATAAAGACAGTTGATTTAAGAATATAGGTTCTGGTCTTGCATGGAAATGCATACTTGAAATCCCAGCTGCTTGGAGGCTGAGCCCTCAGTATCTCAAATTCCAGACTAGCCCGGGCAACTTAGTGAGACCCTATTTCAAAATTAAAAAATAAAGATGGCTTGGCAGCAACTCAGTAATATAGTTCTTGCCTAACATACATAACGCCCTGGGTTTAATCCCCAGTGCCACAAAATCCAAGGGGGAGGAAGGGAAGGAGAGAAGAAGAGAGGAAAAGAGGATATAGTTCTGGTTCAAGAAAGAGTAGCTGCTATCAAGAAATCAACAAATAACAAATGTTGGCAGGGTTGTGGGAAGAAAGGAACCCTTCTCCATTGTCGGTGGGAGAGCAGACTGGTGCAACCACTGTGGAAATCAGTATGGAGATACCTCAAAGGACTAGGACCAGAGGTCCCATTTGACCCAGCTATTCCCCTGCTGGGTATCTTCCCCAAAGACTTAAAAGAATCATACCACAGTGATACATGTGCACCCATGTTTATAGCGGCACAGTTTGTAATAGTGAAAGCTTGGAAACAGCCCAAGTGCCCATCAACTGGAAACTGGACAAAGAAGATGTGGTTTTTTAATAAAGTGGAGTACTACACATCCATAAAGAATGAGAAACTAGAGACATTTACAGCTAAATGGATACATATTGAGGACATACTCTTAAGTGAAATAAATAGGGCACACACGTGCAAATACCGAATAGTTTCTCTGGTGTGAGAAACTGAAAGTGTAAATAAGGATTAAAATGAATAATTGATAATGGGAAATAGGAAGAAAAGGTCCAAAGGGGTAGGGGAAGTGGGAGGTGTAGGGGAAAGGAAAGGAGGGAAATGAAAAATTACAAGAAAAGGAAAAAATGGAAACAAAGTCTTTGTAAATAAGGAAAGGTGGAGGGGGTGAAGGGAAGACAAGAAATGGGGGAAAAATAAGAATCAAGATACATCATATAAAGGTACAAATTCCCAATGATAAATGTAAATGTACTGTATACCTAAAATGTACCAATAAGAGAATCTAAGAAAAAAAAAGAGGATGTAGTTCTGGATTGGAAGTGGAGTCAGACTCATTTCCAAACTTACTGGTTGTACAATCTTAACCCATATTCTCTCTTGATCTTTCTAAGCCTCAGTTTTCTCATTTGTAAATTCTGGATAATAATATTACACAATAGGAATACCATTTTAAATGCATATACACTTATCACAGTATCTGACATATGGCCAGTAAATGTCAATTAATACTGTATTTTTCCATTCCCAAACACAATAACTTGTACACAGTTGACATTGTAGCAAATCTATTCAGGGAAATTGGCAGTCAGCTAACAACCATCTCTCTTTTTTCAGTTGTGCTGAAAGAAAGGCAGGCCTTGTATACTAACTTTTCGCACCAGGGGACATGCTGGCTGGGGAAGGAAGGGATGTCTAACTCAGGCTCAGTCAATCTGATGTTCTCTCTCAGTATCTTGGCCTAGAGATACAGAACTGTGACCAGATGGTGCTGCACATGGAGGCTCCACAGTACTCCTGAGGCCACTTGGTACCACTAGTCACAAGGTCAAAGCTTGTGACTAGTCACTAGTCAAACCTAGTCACAAGCCAAAGACACAAGACAGAAGGACTTGATCTACAGAAAGAATAGAGATGTTTGATGAAGAGAAACCTTGACAATCCAAATATGGTGAGTGGTTCTTTGGTGACCTTAGCTAGTTTGTAATATCCAGCTTTAGTTCTTAAACTGGGGTCTTCCAGTGGATCTCACCTGCAAAGTTGTCCTTTCTAAAATGAGCTTTAGTGAATTTCTCCTTGCAACAAAGCCAGAGTTTATTAACTGATTAAATTTTTTTAAAATTCACACTGGTCTTGTCTCTGAAAAGTCTCTCCTATGATTTTTTTCCCACAAGATACTGGCCAAAAAGCAATGGTATGACCCTGAAAGCCACAGAAACATTTGAGTAGTGGGTACCTATTAAAAATTATTCCTTCTAGATTACCCTAGGCTCAAATTTCTTAAAAATCTGCAGTCATCAAGACTATTCACACAATTTCCTCCAGAGGCTATCACATCTATGAAATACTTTAAAAAATAGTTTCATATTGTCATCAGATCTTTACTGTAAAAAAAAAATCCTTACTCTAACCATTTTGAATGAGAACAGGACAGACTGTAGTTGTCCTAGATAAGAGTTAGTCACAGCGCGTACCTATTTTACTCCATGTATATTTTGACACCAAAATTTCTGCAATAAATCCTCAAAAACAAAAACAAGCCAAAGAGAATTAGCCAAGATTAGGAGTTAAAGATTGTGAATCACATTTTTGCATTAGGATAAGACGGTTTCCCTCAAACTCCAAACAGATGGGAGTACTAGATGGAGCAGTATGGCTTGAGAGGAGTAGTGCTGACATTAAAGGAGTGGAACAAAAAGCAGGCAAGAAAAGTTTCTGGCCCCCAAACACCATACCCTTATACAAACACCAGCAAAAGAAACCCCCCCTTCATGAAAGGATTCCCTTTCACTAGTCTAGCTAAGAGAAAGACAGGGGAAAAAATTCTCTAAGTCTTTTAAAATTAGAGTAGACACACCAAGGAATGTGTTGGGGCAGTCCTCCACATAAATATGCTGGGGAAGAAGCATAAAAAGGTAAAGAGTGATATAGATTACATTTGTCTGAGATACATTTTAGACAGACGACCACTCATTCAGACTGAAAACGGCAGAAGATATACTTGAAGGTTCTGATCTCCATCCCCATTCTAAAACATGGGCAAGACTCACCCCTGCGCCTCGTTCTGTCAGTTTCTTGCCATCACCACTTATTGCTTTTGCACCAAGGAATGGATCAAACTGACAAAGAAGAGCACAGAAACCTGCAGCAGCACAAATACATGCTCAGAATAGCAAGAAATGATTAATAGTGGCCTCTTTCAGAAAAAAAAATTAGTAAAGTTAAATGACTGCTCACTGTCTCATGATAATTTTTATTATTCTGTTCTATAAAAATAGTATTTTATATTTCTGTACTTAATCAAAATCTGTGTCATTTTTTAACCTACATTTCTCCCTATTACCCAGATAGGGAAAACACAACCATTTGTACACGGGCTAATGATTTTGAAAATAAACAAATTCATAATTTTTTTTTAGCGACATCTGAGGATGCCATAGAAGGAATTTGAAGATTAGGTGACCTCTAAGGTTTCTTGCCACATGGAATTCCATTATGTTTTTTATTACTTTCTTCTTTCTTCCCTTTTATTCTTCCTCCATTTTTCTATAAATACTG